TACGTTAGTTAGTACTAAATAAGTAACTATTACTTTGTTAGTGTACCTACTAACTTACCTTTACTTATAGTACGTAGTAAGTACGACTATTACTACGCGTATATATATATATATATATATATATATATATAAAGCCATTGGCCTGCAACCCCAACTCAAAACCAACACGAAAGCTGTTATACAATGAACGCATAGAAAGACCTCCGAACCGCCTGTCACTATCGTACCGATATATCATACGCTACAATGTGAAAAATAAATGGAGTATATATCGATTTTTGGGAATCTCAGTGGACGAAATTGTGAAATACGAATGCTGGTGATACCTATCGTATCGCGACGTATGCGAAACCAACTGTCGCACTTCATAAGAGATTTAAAAACACCTATGTACAGATGCACAACCGCAGGGGCGCTGGCAGTGCCAAGGGCAACTGCCACCTGCACGTATACAAAGACATACACATCAGGAAACCGATCCGATTCCTAGCTGCAGCCGTGAGATATTCTTCACAGAAACACTCCCACGTAAAAGGACAGTAGAGTGTCGGTCACCACCGCCCTTCAAACGACATCTAAACTTAGACAGCCCAGGAGTCCCGACTGGCTGACAGGGCTGACTCTCAACAACCGATGGAATCAGTCAAATCCCATCTATTAAAACAACGTCTTTACGGCATCAGACGCTTACAGACAGATCTCAATTCAATGACTGATAGAAATCCGTGTACAGAATTGTACAAATCCGTACAAATACGCAATATCGTACAGATTACCACGAGAAAAATTGTGACGGAACAAATGATCAGTATGCCAAGTATTTATACGCATTACCGGCGATTAAAAACTTCATTAAACTGTGCGCAACTGCCCCGCCAAACTAACCAACGTCAGTTCATAGAGAATCATCGTAAAGACGATCAACAACACCAACTATACATCAAGAGCTAACAACACGTATGTATTATTAGCTACGTATGTATTATATTATACGTATGTATCAGAAGTAGATAATAGGGAATATAAAATCCCTATTATCTACTTCTGGTATGTATAATACGCATTATTACCTCTTGTATGTATATATGACATTCCGGTTATACCGTGGGGCAAGCAATGCAATCATTGGTTTACGCTGACTCATAATCCTTCCATTCTGACAAACACATTTTCAGAGACAACGAAAGGAAAGCAATGTAATCATTGGTTTACGCTGACTCATACTCCTTCCATTCTGACAAACACATTTTCAGAGACAACGAAAGGAAAGCAATGTAATCATTGGTTTACAATGACCCACGTCATCGTCCTTCTATTCTGACAAACATATTTCCAAAGACAACGAAAGGAATGTTATTTGACCAGTACTTCCTCAGCACGCCGACGTGGCAGTCACTCACACGTTGACGGTAGCAGCAATCTTCAGCCTACCGAAGGACCACAAGCCACGAAGGATGTGGGGACCACCAGAGGGCGACTCTGTCTCACCGATTAAAAACTGACTTGGAGCGCGTCGCTGTCGGAATCTCCCTTTGCCGTGGCGACGATGTCGTAATCTGCATCGGGGATGTACACGCCACTCTTGTTCTCCACCATCTCAACCTGATCCGGCTTGAACCCCGGGTTGTCGATGCCCCCCTTCTGCCGCGGCATCGCTCCGTTGCGATGGTGGCCATTTTCTCCTCCGCTCTTGCCCTCCGTCAGCCGCTCGGTGCTGCTGTTGCTCATTGGCTCTCCATTCTTCTGCTTCAGGGCGCTGCCACTTACCTCGTTCTGCGTCGTGAGGATGGTTTTTGGCCGGGGAATTTGGGTCAGCGTAAAATCCTCATTGGTGAAGTTTAGGTGTGGCTGCGGTTAAAGGATAAAGACATTCAAGTAATCACGTGATGCGACCCGACATGTTTTTTTCGAATTGGAAAAAATAACAATACAGTCACGTCGCAATAAACAGTTATAGTTTATGACAAGCAGCAGTTTTGTTGTGTTCAATTAGAATAAAGAGAGAATACCTTTCACGCTATATTTAAATACATCTCTGTGTACTTCAGCTGGGTACGTGATACGCAATACGTACGAGTATTAAGTGAAATTAATTAGTGAGTGATACGTTAGCTATTCCTTCAGGTAGGGAATCCAGCAAAGAACGCGAGAAAAGGAAAAAAAAGAAAGAAAGAGAGAAGAAGAAAAAGAGAACGAGAGACCCACCGTGTCCTTGAGCGTGAACGACTGCTGGTGGTTGCTTCTGCACGAGCTCACGATGAGACCCACTATGGCCACCATGAGCAGCGCCCCCAGTAGCGACCCCACGCACACGTAGATCACTATGCGCACAGTTTTTGTCCTGCTCGTCGTCGCGTAACCGGCGGTGACGTTACCGCCGTCGGCGACGTCACCGTCGGCGGTGACATTGAAGCGACCTTCACCGATGACGGTTACGTTGTCGTATTCGCTCGTAGTGTTGCCACCGAGAGCAGTGGTGCCGGTGTCACTGCTGGTGGAAGCTACACCATCCATTACATCTACGGTCGTGGTGGCAGTGGCGACAGCAGCTGCGGTAGTTACAGACGCACGCGCGTCAATAGTTGCATCCTCGACTTTGGCGGTCGACGCACTAGCACTGGTGGGGACGGTGGAAGATGTGACTGCAACAGCTCTAGAGGAAACTGTGCTCGTAATTTGGCTTGCCGTTACAACTCCAGGGGAGTCCGTTGCAGTGGCTGCTACAACATCCGTCGTAGGCTTTACAGTGAATCGAGTGGCATTCAACGGAAACAAAATGGAGATTTTCTTAGCGCTAGAAGACGACTCGATGGAACTGCTAGTCGTTGCCGCAGGACTTGTGGACAAGGTGGAAATCGACGTTGCTTGGTTCGAAGACACTTCTTGGCTCGGGGACGGCATAAGGCTTGACGACGGTGCGAGTTCCGAGGACGGTACGTGACTCGAGGACGGTGACAACTCCGTTGGCGATATTTGGCTTGGGAACGGTGCGAGAGCAAAGGACGGAGAAAACTCTGGGGACGGTGGCATTTGGCTTGACGACGGCGGCGCGCTCTGCTGCGCGATAGGCTCAGCGTCTGTCGTTGCCGTGGCGACGCCCTTACCCGGCGTCGTCTCGCGGGTCGGGTCGGCAACGGCGGCGGGCGGTTCGGGGTCAGAGGTCGACGTAGCGACGGTGCTCTCCACCGCGTCAGCATCCTCGCGGACGTTGTCGAAGAGAACGACGGGATTCTCCTCCGCCGCCGCCGGCCGGGCATCCTCCGTCGTCGACGACGATGCTGTCGCCACGGCAACTGCGCTCGACGTCGGTTCGAGGAAAGAGCCGAGCGGCGACGTCGCCGTTCTAGCGTCGCCGCCAGGTGGCGCCTCCGCTCCGGCGACCGTGACCTTGCGGATGGCGACCTCGACGGACGGAATCACGGACGGCGTCGGCGTCGAGGGAGACGTCGGAGCACCGCCGCCAGAGTGCACCGGCGAAGGTGCGGGTTCGCCGGACGCGAGACGGGTCGCGAGCGCGTCCTGGGCGTGGCCCGCCTCCGTCGCCAGCGGCAACACGACTCGCGTCGTCGCCGCCCGCTCGCCCGCTCCGCCGGCAGCGTCCGCGTCTGGTGGCGCCACCTGCGTCGTCGCGACTGCTCTCGTCGTCTGCGTCGGGGCATCCGACCCTGCAGTGACCTCCGCCGCCGACTGTGTCGCGGGAGGCGAAAAGATTGTCTCCGTCGTCGCGGCGACGAAACTCGATGCATCCGCGGAGGGTTCTAGTTCGGCTGCGTTGGGAGGGTCAGCTTCCTCATCTTCTGCTGCTGGTGCTGACGCGGAGGGAAGCGGAGATGTGAGCGAGGCGCCATCGCCACCTGTTGTGCTGGCTGCCGTGGAGTCGGTGAGATCTGCCGGGAGTTATCCACAGAAATATCACTAGTGCATCGCACACACGCACTTATGCTGTAATACACTACATATACTACGTGACACACCACACCATACCACAGCTCACCGCACCGCACTGTACCGCACCTAATTTAACCGCATATAATCAGGAGTTAATAAAGACAAATGAAGACAAATAAAGACAATTTGTCTTTATTAACTCCTGATATAATTTTTAAATATTGCTTCAGTTAAAATGCCGAATGAATACTCAGACATCATAAGGAGCTATGCTATCAGTTTAGGTTATCCGTAGCAGATGAGATGTTAATATATCCCTTTAATTGGTGTTAAAAATTACCTTCAATATATAAAATATGCTAGATAGTCAATTACTAACTTACATGCTATTCTAGGCTATTGCGGAGAGGAATGACGTTCACACTACTGCAGACAGGTCATCGCAAATATTCAAGAAAAGTTCGACATTGCATTTTGCTGTTCCCCGCCCTACTACTACCGGACGTTAATTGAGACGTTCCCAAAATTTGGATTGCGAAATTGAAAACATAGAATTCCGATCGCGAGCGCTGGCGCGGATGCACAAGGCGTTGCCTGCATGCGCGTTGCTGCTGCGTTCCTCATCAGAGACAAAAACACGGGGTTCGTGCGTGCATCCTAAATATAAATCATATATCATAATCATAAATCATAAATCACGCTGCGGAATGGAAAACATCAAAACATCCAGCCGTGCGAAACACAATAGCATCACCTGTGCGCGCGCGTAGATGAGCGTGGTTGAGATCTGTTGCTGGCTGGATTCAAGTATCAATTCTGCTTACAGCACGCACACGCACACGCGCGCACGCACACACGCACCCACACACGCGCGTACACACGCACGCACACGTACACGCGCATACGCGCATGCGCGCGCGCGCACACACACACACACACACACACACACACACACACACACACACACACGCACACGCACAGATGAACAAACTGCTTAATTACACGATGGCACCAGGCGAATGCAACCGCACCTACTCTACTCTACTCTACTACCATACTCTTCATAAGGTTGGTTATGAAAGTTTTTTATACAGTAACCCCATCTCGCGAGATAAAGTCGAATGGGGCGCATTCCCCCCCCCCAGGTATATGTAGACAGAGATTGTGAACAGAGATGAGAAAGTTTTGTGTAAGAAACCATCCGCGCTTTGTGTGTTTTTTTAAACAAATCGCGCGTAAGCATTTATTTCTTAGCAAAAACTCGTCGCAAGTTGCTGTATAAAATATGAAGCCTAAACCCGTGTGAAACGACGAGAGCTTGCACTGCAAAAACGCACCACGCTAAATAGCAATCACGTTTAGTACGCATTAATAATAATGAGAAATAATTAAACATATAAAAATATTAAACAGTACAACGCCACTGGATATACTTCATCTCCTAACACATCTACCGTATAGACCTACGCACAAACGGAAAGATAACCTGGAATAATATTAATTTTCTGGCAATAATATTAAAATCTTCAAAGTCGGGCCATATTATTCCATGTTCTGTTCATAATAATCATGATTAAAAACGCTATACTGTTCCTGCTTTATGTTGTGATGCGCTAATGTAGTTTTTGTTTATCGTATAGAAGAATGATCTAATGAAAAATACCGAGCATGGATTTTCATATAACATCCGGATAGACATTTCCCGTTTGGCGATTATTTATAGAGTTCATATACACAAGGTTTGAGTCACTGAAGTCAAAACTCCGGATGGGTGTATACGCACAATTATATACTCGTAAAACAACAACATCCTACTAAAATACATCATACACACTGACTGCATAAATTCTACAGTTCAATCATTACCTAGCGTTCACACATACTGACTCATGAATTGTCATGACACTGACCCGTTTGACAGAGCAGAGGCGGGGGGGGGGGAGGTTCTGCTAATCATGATACAATAAAGTTAATTATCTTTGTCATGTATGCACGATAGCCGATATGAATTAATTTACCATTAAATATGTCTGCGGCCTATAGACCCTCATGAGGCCAGATGTACAGCGAAACAATCTGACCGTACATGCATCACGGCGCTGTAGATTACTTAATTAATGAGATCGGACTTGCTCATTAGCGAGCGGAAACCCAATCGTTCGAACATTAATACTTTACGATTAACGACACGACTCGTATCCCCCCTGATTCACCTAACGCTCAATAATTATTATGAATCACTCTGTTCGATTGAAGAAGCGTCAAAATCTAACGTCTGTGGTGTCGAAGAGCTGTAGCATGTTAGTTTAATACATTAAATGAAAAAAAAAAGTTTTTTGTTTCCCCTCGTTGTTTAATTTACCACAATTGCATCCGTTTTTATTGCTATCAAGAGCGTAATTACGTATTAAGTACTTAATAGGTACATTGATTAGGTACATTGATAGGTACATAATAGAGGTACATTGATAGCAACAAGAGTAATACTTAATACGTTCTTGTTGCTATCGATGTACGTCTATTGCTATCAACCCACGCTACAGGAAGGAGGACGATGAGAGGGAACAAACACACAACAGATTGCGACTCGAAGAGCGCAGAAAGAGAGACTCTCAAGTTCAAGTTCAAGCTCAAGTAAAATTTATTTTCATCGGTATATAATGAACATTATTAACATAAGCTAAGAGCTTTTGCACCGATATCAAACAAGAGTAAATAGATATTGATTAAAACACGAGAGAAAGGCACACAAAGGCGTAGCAAGGTGCTAATTAGTAATTACACGCTAGCGCATGCACCATCTATAACAAGTCCGCCCTCGATCGCTTAATCCACTCCCTACGTTACTCAATCTCACGCGTGCTAACTCAATTACACTACACGAACAACCGCGAGATGAGATCCAGGTGAAATAATCGGCATGCAGGTCCCGATCGCTGCCTACCTGTGAACGTACCTTGTGCTCTAACTAGGACGATGGCTGCTGCCGTGCAGGCGATGCAGAGTAATTGGTGCCCCCACCTGCTATTACCGCCGCCTCCACCCCTCATGACGGCTGTGTACGATCACAGACGCACACACACACACAGACCACACCTGCCTGCTGTACAACGTGGTGGTGGTGGGGGGAAATCTTGCTGGTCGTAATGTCTGTCGTACGGTACGTCGGTCGTATTCTCCGTCCCACGCCTGCAATATGACACACGCTAAATTAATTACGACTATATATATATATCAAGAATACATAATAGAAGGACCTTCTTAATACGCTCTTGATAATATTTATATATATATATATTTATATATATCTCTTACATCTTATCAGGAGTAGATAATAGGGATCCCTATTATCTACTCCTGATCTTATTATCGTGCATGTATCGCGCGCACGGATTGCATATAACGCGATTGGACAACTAGGTTTTGTTCATAACACCATGAACACATCTATTCTATGGTAGTAGGTCTATACTATCAAGAGCTAATATTGGTATTATTAGCTCTTGATAGTATTAAGCTATAGTATCTCTATAATATTATGAGCTCTTGATAGTATAGACCTTACAGTAGCAGGAGCACACGAACATATAATTCTCTCTATTCACCAATTCCCGATTATCGGTTGTAGTACAGAGATGCTCATAATAACAGCTACTACGTACGATTCACTGTATATACTTTGAGAGAAATCGGGAATATATCGTAAAAAAATGTCAGCAAACTTGAGCAGCAATAATACGCGTTTTGTTAAAATCTGCCCTGCGCCCATCCTTCCCGACACATTGTGACACCACCGTCAGTTTCACCACCACACCACCGCGGTCACGTCCAACTTTGCATAATAAAAGCCAATATTAATGTCGATGACTCATGTGTTGAACCGAATGAATCCTGATAAATTGCTTGAGAGGCACACGGCTAGAACACCACAAAGGCCGCAGCTGCTTTGTCGCTGTTGACTACACAAGCAATACGAAAACACACCTGTTAGCAAATGCTGAATCGCACTATATTCCCAAAACAGACATACATTCACAAATATGTATTAGATGACAACGAAACCGTTATTTTACATCGTACGTGTAACGGATAAAACTAACAATGCGTACGTGACTGGGACGGTACGGTATATGAATGATATCAAGAGCGGATAATACCTATCCGCTCTTGATGATATATCATAATTATGTGGCCAGACGTCTATTACCTAGTCTGTTTATGATAAAACATCTTCGTTTGGCTAGCCGGGGAGTGCAAAAAGGCTGCCTGTCTGTTTTGCGCTTCCCCTAACCGGGGCGTTCACCGTGTATCACCTTTTAGGGCGCAACCAAAACAATATACACATGAACAGTAGTAGAGAAAACAAATTCACTCCTGATATGATGATGTACATCGTGGCATATCACGGGAGAGAGCGCGCGCGAGAGAGAGAAAGAGAGAGAGAGAGAGAGAGAGAAGAGAAGAAGAGAGAGAGAGAGAGAGAGGACCGAGAGCGAGATGACAGAGAAGCTGAAGAGCAAGTCGAGACAATACCACGGAGAAGCTTATAACGCTGACAAATTTTACGTGCAAAACAATTCACTTCCGATATCGCCGTCATATTTCACTAGAATGTGATATCTCCTGATATTGCATTCTTCCGTGTAGCTAATGATGAGTTTACGACATGCGGGTCCCCGGAGGAGCATGTCTGAGTTATATCCACACCCCCAGCATCTCACATCAGCATTGAGCCTGAGTACTATAGCCCACGTACAGTGAACTGCCGCGTATACTTATCCAGCGCCATCAACCCTTGCAGCATGACCTTAATAGACATTTTATAAGCGAAAAATGACTATAAAGAGTATTAACAATATATATATAATATATTATATATATATTATATAATAATATTATATATATGAGAGAGAGAGAGAGAGAGAGAGAGAGAGAGAGGGGAGAAATAAAGAAAGAAAGATAGAGATAGAGAGAGAAAGAGTATATAGTATCAAGAGATAATAATACCTAGGTATTATTAGCTCTTGATAGTATATATCTATAGACCAGTATCACATTCCTTCCTGGACAGAACGTGAGAAAATTATAGAAAAATTAGTGTATAGGGACCTAATTTGACAGATATAAGTACGGTTTTGATTTTTTTTAAATAGCAGCAGTACCTATTTCGTGCTTCATATTTCTGTATGAGGAAATACATTATTAGTATTACACGGCGAGAATCCGCAATCCAAAGTCACCTAAATCTGTCTGCATGTATACATACGGTGACCACAAATCACACAAGGTGTACCTAGCCGTGTAGTAGTACTGTACTGTAGATATCTGTAATCCTATACAATTATTCTCACTCATAGCACGGTAAAAATACCAATTAGGTGACATATGGGTCACCCAGTAATGGCCACGGCCACTTTGAGTAATATGCACCTAGAATACCTGTCATAAATTGTTCAACACTGCGATCCGTAATATTTCGTTGGACCAGTGTTGGGAAATAGGCCGTAAAATATTGGAGTTATGGTACAGCGATCAGTTTAAATTAACGAGATATGCCACGAATAACTTTAATATATTACTGGCTATTCATACAAACTGATATAACCATTGAAAACGTTTCGCACAGCAGCCGATATTTAGGCGACGATAAAATTCGCGAGTTCATCCATTTTCATAATAGCTGCAAAGTTATAGCGGAAAGGATTTCGGCAATGCCATTTAAAATAAGCATCGCTGCCTTTATACAGGAAACAGCCACACATTTGATCATTAGAATATCAATCGTTGACTACCTAGATCCTGGCAGGGGCGAATAATGACAAATTTATTCATTATTGGTGGAACTTGTCGTTGAATTATTCGTCGAATTTGTCATTATTCGCCCCGGCCAGTATCTAGGTAGTCAGCGGTTGACATTCAAGGTCGAACGTATAGCTGTTTCCAGTATAAAGACAGCAATGTGGAATTTATCGTCGAATTATTCGTCGAATTAGACATTATTCACCACTGAGCTACTGACTGTACAAAGCATACACAACATAATAATTATATACAGACAAATAATTCACAGACTAATTACCGATAGTACGCACGAGCATTAACATGACGAACAGATTTGTCTGGGCAACGGGTTCACGCCTGACACGCGTTCACACGTACGCGATAACGTAATTACGACATGGTCACAATTGTTTCATCAATGACTGTATTTTCCTGCCGAGTTCACAGACATCTGTTATAATCCGGCATCAGTCAATGAGCTTGAAAAGTTTAGTACTGTACTACTTTCGCAAAGACATAATGGCGATGGCTAGAATGTTGCTGCAATGAATTTTTAAACGTGATGCTTGCGAGTTTATACACACTGAAAAGCGACTTCACGAATGTTCTTTCGATTAAAATCACACACGCTACACAATATATAGACCCAGATCCCCTAATTAAACGCACAAACGCACGCACGCACACGCACGTATACACACGCGCAAATTTACTATAGCTACACACTCAAGTGTTGTTTTTGAGATAATCTCTTGATTCGCTGATGTCGAGACGAAAACGACAGAGCGTACAGTTTCGCGTCTTCCGAGCCCGCCACGGCAGCTGCTGCAACACTTGCCAACAACCAACATCACTCCTAGCAAATGATGCTACAGTAACTAGAGCCGATTCACTCTACCGCGGACCAACAACAACACTCTGAGGACCTTGTATGCTATAGACTATAGATATAGATCTATAGTATAGAGAGTGTCAGGATGAAATGGCCATGCGGGCTTGTCAACACTTATTATTGTCCTTACATTCTTCCCGTGCGCGCAGGAAATGCCGTGTCAACACAGCAGTCAGGCGAACGTGGTGATTAGACGACCCAACCCTCTCCATTCTCGTCATTATGGTGTTTACGCTGTGGTCGGATGAGTGTGTGAGGAAATGAATGCTACGCCACCGTTGCCATCTGCACCTAGTTCTAAAAGCAGGATTTACGTATTACCTTTAGGGCCTCCCTAGTTCGATTACCCTTTAGATACGTATTCAGGGCGCACACACACGCACACACAGAGACACACGCAAGCACGCGCGCACACACACACACACACACACACACACACACACACACACACACACATACACACAGAGACACACACAACAAGACGTTCCTACGTATTAATACGAAACAGTAATCGCCATGGCAACTTGCTCTTCAACCAATGATTAACGCCCTCGGCAATACCAGCCATGTGTCACGTACAAGTACGTAGGCCTACGACTCGTGTGGCTTGGTACCTAGCACCACATAATCCTTCACGCCCCATATCCCCACTCCCCAACTTCTTTAAAATATATATGTATGTGTAGAAACGCACTCAAGATAAATGCTATGCGATGCCGCTTCGCATAGAGTGCGTAATAATAATTGACAAATGTTAATATTTAATATAAAAGCGTCGTCTACAACTTACATCGGCCGAGTGCACGCACATCAACATGAAGCTAGGAGCACGCGTACAGACAAAACGCTAGCGAAATACAGTTTTACCTTCTTCACAGCGTAAAGACAGCTAGGCATCAGATCTGGACGCAAGTGGTAGACTTGTAAAATATTCATGTTTAATTACCACACGTTACTCGATGAGTACAGCAGTCATTGCTAAGATACACACATATACCATACATCGATACATACATACTATATTATACACCTACATCGATATATCTATACATCTATATATCTATACTATCAAGAGCGTATAAAGATAGCCTTCTTTATACGCTTTTGATACTATCTTGATACTATACATCGATGGCGTGGCCATTAGTGAACCAAATATGTTGTATCAATTTAATATATCAGGGAAAAAACCAATACGTGTAGGATGCATTAGAAGATATAAGGAATTTTTTAGTATAAATGACGCACCTGAAATACCACATCCACTATTAATTAACATACAGGTGCACGCAAGCGTGCCTTTATGTAACCATGGTTACATCAATCCCACAGCGTAGCCATAACAACGAAACCCGGCTGCGACTTTTATTAGAGGCGCACGCCGAGTTAACCTGCATCGTTCTATATTCATTCACGATGTTTAGCACGGGCGATATAATACGCCATGTAATGTCACAACCCAGCGGAAAATTCGTCTGCCACAAAACACTGTGCGATTGTAACGTACGATCTTATCGGCTATTTTTTTTAGCCCATTGAAGATTGTGATTGCAACTGGTGTCACCATAGACCAGAGCTGTAGGTTATTGGCTCTCTGTGTAAAAATTCCCTTTTGCCAACTTCAGCACTATGAAATCGATGGGAACCTGTATTTCCCTCATTTCCGAAATAAAATAATGGCGTGCCATGCGCACGTCCACCCAGCTGCTATGGGACAATAGCAGCCTCCCCTCACCCGGTATATATCCCTTTGTTGTGTTAGCCACCCTCGTAACCTACATTACAGGTACACCCGGACCTGGCTTGCCATCGGGATACTGATGCTGCTGCTGCTGCTGCTGCCTGCACCCACGCAGACGCTGCACTGTTATGATCAGTTACCATGGTAACGAGGAGTGTACTAAAACTGCTGCTGGTTGCGGGCGCTAATCGGTTGGCGCGTGCTGCTAGTAACGCACAAGTAGCGAAAGAGAGCTCGTTAAATCTATGTCCGCATCGGTGTGGTGCCCAACGTAAACACGCTTGAAAATAGGACATTTTACCTGCATCCGTGTTACGCAACCTGCCACTTCCCGCTCCACACACGCGCGTAAACAATGTAGGTGTACGTATAGGCGATTGCGTGCGTGCGTGCACGCGCGCCTGCGTGTGTTTGTGTTTGCGCATGTGTATGTGCGCGTGTTTGCGTGCGTTTGTGTGTGTGTTGTGTGTGTGCGTGCGTTTGTGTGTGTGTGTTGTGTGTGCGTGCGCGTGTCTGTGTGTGTGTGTGCGCGTGTGCGTGCGTGTGTGTGCGCGCATGTGTGTCCGTATATGCATGTGTATGCGTGATTGCATACGTAGCGTACCGTGCGATGCGAACCCACGTATTTCTAGTATTGCTGCTACGACAAACCACAGCAGCTACAGTAGTTGATTACATGTGATACATCCGTGTGATCTATTTCTGCGTGTATTTCGTTACGGCATACATACACTGCCGCCGCCGCCGCAGCAGATTCACCTGGATGCAGGCGGGCAGGTGCGACGTTATATACCTGCGCGCATAGGTGAGTCATGCGATGCCCGCTCACACAAGGTGACGATAGCGATCTAAACGATAAAACCTGGCTAGAAAAACGTTGACATGTGGCGTTGACGTGCGTTAAAATTACGGGATTCAAACACAAACAATACTAGCTGAGATTCACCAGGGAATATAGTCACAGGCTAATATAGCAATTTTCTGCTCTTATATATGTGAGCAAATGTTTGTAGCCACTGTTCGCTAAGGTATATACATGCTCTATTCGCTATACTCTATTTTCTATATATTCGATGCTCTATACATGCAGCAGATTTGTAGCCATTGTAACGGCAACAGATAAACAACACTATATACACTGGCGCCCACAGGTCTTAAGAAAGTAAAGAAGGATAACATCCACATTGATAATAAAAAGCAGGCGCGCTGCATGCTAGGGGGTCTGGGGGCATGCCCCCCTGAAACTTATTGAATGGTAGACGTCTGAGATGCATCTCGGAGTCTGCGAGAAGTTTATGACCAAAATGTCAAACAAATTTTTACAAAATACTGGAAGCACGGCTCCAGTGCATCTATCTGACGGCCGCTCACTACTATATAAATATTAAAATGAATATATACTATTATATATATATAATATATATAGTATATATATAAAATATATATATATATATATATATATATATGTAGCAGATTTGTAGCCGCTACAAATTTTTGCGACTATATTCCTTAGCGAACAGTGGCTACAAACATTTGCTCTCATGAGTCATATATAAGAGCAGAAAACAACTATATTAGCCTGTGAATAAATACGCGATTCACCAGCAATATTGTAGGTTTGTTGAGGCTGGCCGGGCTAGGGTCAGTTCAGTTCACGGGTTTAATGATGAATGATAGGGTTAAGATTCGATCTGGGTTAGGGCTACGGCTAATTAGGCCTAGGTTAGGGATAGGTATATAGGGTTTGGTTAGGGTTAGGGGTAGGGTTATGCAAGGGTTAGTGATGGAGTAACGTACGCTAATTATCCTAGTTTAGCACCCCGGATTTGTTTACTACATTGGCGAACTATATATAAATCTNATCTCTCTCACTCTCTATATATTATATATACACACACACATATACATAATATATATATATATATATATATATATATCTGAGACCCTAACTAGGATTAAGCATAATTTACATAGCGGAGTCCCAAGGCAGAAACGAGTCGTCAGATAAGCGTTGAGATAATATTAAATAATCTTCACGCGTGGCTATGCAGGATCCTATGGAGGCAACCGCGATAATCAACTAGTTACTGCAACCTACCTCTATCAACTACATGTAGATTCAAGCCGTTGTTCGAACGAGACGATTCAGCGATGGCAAACGCATGGTCTCAATACACTATGAACATCATCAACACAACGCCATCCTTACCTGCCGATCGAGCTCTCTGCCTCTCACACTAACGACTAGCACTGCGTTAGTGCTGCCAAGATTTACTCTTTGTTTGATTGGGAGGTACCATGCGCGGCGACCGTGATGGGGGAGGGGTGGATCGTTGGTGGGTTGTTGCCCAGGCGCGCGCTTTGCAACATTTACGAAAGTGGATCATTTACGCTGGCTCTCCCTCTGAGATCATCCACCGCGCGTATGTAATTTGTATGGATCACCGTGAATCTCAATTAAACATGAATATCCTCACCAAGATAACTCCTGAGCACACACAAAAAGAATCAACACCCACTTCAACAATATTCAGCCACTAATATCACCACGTAAATCTCAAAAGATATAACATAATTACCAACAAACTCATGAGGTCACAAACGCAAAAGAATCAACTACCCGACTCACACCTATTTCACAAACTAATATCACCATGTGAATCTCAATAAACATACTATCCAAATAAACTCCAACCAAAGCAATCAACACAAACATCACGGGCACCACAGCGAAATCGCTCTCCGTCCGTTGCCCACGCTCCTAAACGAATCAAACACCCACTTCACTTTTATCACCACTAATATTCACCGTGATAGCTCATATTCAAACAATTACACAACTCCTTGAGCAACGCAAAAGAATCAATCTCCGTCTCACACCCACTTCACAATATGCATCCACTTAAATAGCACCGTGAATCTCAATAGAAACATACTCAAAAATCGCTTTCTCAGCACACACCCAAAAGAATAAACATCACCACTTCACAACTATGGCACCACAACATATCACCGGCGTGAAATTCTCAATAAACCATACTTACATCCTTATAACCTCCTGAGCATCCCACACAAAACGAATCAACCACACTTCACGAATCACTCACCTTACTCTCCCCCCACTAATATCACTGTCACCCAGTGAATCATTCAACTAAACATTACCACATAACTGCCTCAGTCACACACAAAAGAATCAACACCCTCACTTTTTCAACATATTCACCGACTAAAGTATCACCTGTCGAATCTCAAAATAAACATATTACATACTCCCAGCACACACACAAAAATAAACATCCCACTTCACTATCCATGAAACGCAAGCATCAGCCAGTATGCTCTATCTTCTCCCTCCATCTTTCTTCCCATCCAGTTTCTTTCTCTCCTCGACTCCCTCTCCGCTCCATGCTACTTTCCTATCGTTTCTTCCTGCTAAATCCCCGAACGCACCGGCACGTTACCCCAGCCACGCAACACGGCACGCACACACTGCACGCACACACTGTGGTATCGTTGGCGCGACGATTTGGTTACGTTCACACGGCACAACCACGCACGCACTCCAGACACGTTTGGACGTGGCCACAACATCGCACGCACGCTCAAGCACTGCACCCATTTACACGTGGACTGTTGGCACATCGCACGACGCACAGCACGCAGCGCATTTGCGCACAACGTGTGACCTTTGCAGACGGACGGCAACGCACGAAAACGCACGCATTGGCCACGTTACATGGATGACACACCACGACGCACAAGGCACACACGTTCACGTCTTACAGGCAGACTACGGCACGCCACAGTAGAGGCCGCAAACGAAGTGCGACGCACGCATGCACGCAGTGGTGTACGTACATACAACCGCAATAGGCGGAGTCGAGATGGGGACGGCCGGCGGCGGACACGCACCACATACGTTGTACCGTGCAAAATCGCACGCACGCATGGCACCGCATGTGTACGTTCGCACAGCCATCCGCGCGCGAGCGTGAGCGAGAGCGCACGCCATTGCACCACACTGTACGTGCATACGACATGCAACGCAAGCACACACGTTACGCATGCAGCGCACGGGTACGTATAAAGCACGCACCAACTGCACGCATCACGCACGAGTGAGACGTGCAACGACGCAGGCACCGAACCTGGCAGGACGCGGGGGGGCAAGGGGGCAGAGAGCGCGAGCACGCACGCACACACGTTGCTACCTGCACTAGGCCACACAACGTGTACCATTCTACACGTGGCATGCAACACACGCACGCATGCACGTACATGAATGACCACAGCGCACCCACCGCGTTCCACAAATCACGAGCGATGTTAGCTAAAACCGTTTACACGCACGCACGCTACACACGTGCACGTTACACGCACGCCACACACTGGCTTCGCGTTATACTCCCCCCGTAAATATTTTTTTGTTTAAACGGGGACACGTGTAAGCCAAGTACCGCCCATGTCCACACATCGAAAAAATGGAAGCACGCGGAAGCACATCACCAGCGTTTCACATTAATACACCGACTTAATTACTAACAACACGTAAAAGAGAGGAGAGCGTTCAATTTTAAACCATTATTCTCACAATTAACTCCCTCAGACGACACATCAAAAGTATACACCGAACACCATCTCCGACTATTCCATCATTATCGCACTTGAATCTCAATTTTCAATCCCTAGACCTAGATGAAATGCTCAAATTAAACAATTGCACTAAAAAAAGCCAGAAAACTTCCTCACGGTCAACAGCACTGAGAGAGGAGACACTGGGCTGTGTCGTTTTAGCCCGTAACCATCATAATTGCGCTCGGGTGGCAATCTGGGTAATCTTCGAGCGGATAGAGTTAACTTTTCACCGCGTCAATTATGGTTGCCCTAGTGACCTTACAACCGTAAACACGGGGTAGCGAGCACGCACGGGTAGGGAAGACTTTTTTTCTAGGAGATGGCTAAGTGCCATATCCATCCTGAGCGATACGGCTTGGAAGACTTATTGAATATTGAATTTACAAAATATAGGAATGCATAGACTCAACATTCCCATTTATCTAGGGCAGGTGTCGGATAATTATGGGTCATGGTATTTATTCATTACTTTATTTTAACATCCCGAAGAGAATTATGGAGGATCAGTTACCATTAGTTTTTCGAAATTGTAAGTAGGGTAATCATGGAGGTTCAGGCACACTCGCGTCTCGTATGATCTAATAAGTTACAATTCTTGCACTCAATAATCAGGGAGGATCTATTTGCGACGGAATGCACAAATATTTTGGTCTTTTTATCACTTGTAGGTTTTAGTAAATACAGAAAATGAGTGATTAATGAATTCAGTTTACATGGGTTCTAGTTAACATATATTTTATATACAGGGCCTCCTTTGTATAAATAAACATTGATATAGATCTATATAATAATGAAGTTACTCTCTCATATAGTACGATATAGTGCCGCCACCTACCGACAAAAATATAAGTAAATTGATAAGTGAACTGATAACAAGGTACGCGTGCAGACAGTACAGTATTAGCGTAACAGTCATAATATGTAATATAATTTATAGAGTAATAATTAATAAACAAACTAAATAAAATAAATAAAATAGGCACGTAAACTAAAAACATTGTGGGTTGATACGTACCTCATCGTAACATTGGCCAGATCAATCCGCCTTATCAAGGAAAGATCAAACCGGCTTATCAAGGAAAGACGCCCCTTACGAGATAGTGCATAATTAAGTGTCTTACGGAACGGCCCGTCGTCATTCCGGCATTGCAGCACTGCGAACTACATCGAACTTCCGTCAGATGTAATTAGGCGAATTAGTCTTCTCTATTTAACGTTAGACGACTGTTGACGGATAAGCTAGCAAAGCGAATGTTGTGTGATATGATGAGTGTGATATTAACTGAGTATGATATATGATGAGTGTGATATGATGAGTGTGATATGATGAAGTTGATATGAATGAGTGTGATATGATGAGGGATGTGACTATGATCGAGTATGACTATGATGAGTGGTGATTAGATGTAAATTGAATATAGATGAGACTGTGATAGATCAGGGATAAG